GAGAAAGTTAAGCAACTCGTTACTGGATTTTTTTTTTATAGAGAGAAGTAATTCCTTCTTACGCTGAATAATAATATTTTAATTGATGTAAAAACAAATACATAAATAATAATTTAATTAATTAAATATCAAGTTATTCAAATTTTATATATTTGTCGTGTTTAAAATTGTAAAATATATTTTAAATAAAAATTTTAAAATAAAAAATACCATCAAATGTTTTAAATAATGCATTTTAATAATCTTCTATAAGCTTTAATGTACAGTACATGTTTCTGTAGTGCTATTTCATACACACAGATTACACAGAAGTGGAAAAAAAAACGTACAGAAGAATAAAGAATAAAAAAATGTATAATAATATTATTTAAATAATAAATATGATATTAATATTAAAACAAACTTTAAATATCCTGCAGCACTTACATTTTTAATGATATTTTAATATTTATTTAAACCAAATCGATATTTTGTTCCACATTTATTATATTAAATAAATAAGTAAATATTAGAAAATTATATTTATAATGCTGTAGAACAAAGTCTTATTCGTATATTATTTAAGAAAATAATTATTTAATATTTTTTGTAACACACAAAATTGTCATTAAATCTTATTAATGAATATATTTGGTTTATTGGATACATTAAAATTACAGTGAATTTTCATTTACTCGTGTAGAAAACATTATTTTTTTAAAATAATTTTATTAAATTCGTTAACTTTTCTCACCGTATAAGCTTAAAATCTGTTTTTTTTTTTTTCCTATACACAATCTGTATTTAAACATCTATATTAAAGTAAGGCACATGTTGCTAGGTGTATACACTTTGCACTTCTGAATTTGCCATCTTTTAACTTGATTTATCCTGAAACTGTAATGATTTTCAATTATTATAGATGTAAAAAAATTAAAGTAAACAATAACTAAAAGATATACTGTGGGAAAAAGGTCTGATTTATGTATAAGATGAATAAGTTAGATTTAGATCAGTAATGGGGGCCATCGCTGGCTTAGGCCTTATGCTATAAGACTATAATTTAGAGCCTCGTAATTTAAAATTTCTTATTTGGTAGAGAGAAATGTCCTCTTATATATTATATCTTAGGATATTAACAGATTTGAAAGGCATACTTACATGTTTTTCGATATTTATCTAAAACAGCATTGTCATTATATTCGAAGGGATCCAATGATTTCTGTAAAATAAATTTAAAATTAATTACTTATCTATTTTTAATTTATTATAAAAATTAAAAGAATTATGTTAGATTCATACTGCAGCACTAATTCCTCTTTTTCTGCTTCTACAGATTGAAGAACGAAAATGTTTCGACCCAAAACCAATTATTAAAACAAAAAATATTCCCTGAAATGAAATCATATTAATTTCAATTATTAATAAGTTTTAATGGAAATTAAAAATTATTTATAAAAATTACCAAAGACGCATTTAAAACTTGAAAAACTGGATTAAACGGAGGTAAGTCATCCAGTCGTAAATCAATATAAGTAAAAACTGCACAGACCCAAGTTACCAGAAATAAAATATTAACGATGAAGTGTGTTTTAGCTGCAGAACTAAAATTTTTTAAGTTAATTTATTTAATTTACACAAGAAAAAACGTTCTTTTTAAATTATTCAAACCTTATTTCATTCACTACTGCTGTTTTCTTGATAACAGGAGTGCCAATGTTACACATAGTTAGTAACGACCATAAAAATGCAACCTATCAATCAAATATTTAAATAAAACTCTATAAAATTAATGTAACAATCTTAAAATCGTAAAAAATCTGTTATATATAACAGAAATTTTAATTAACTTGAATTACCGTTGTTGGTGCTAAAATGCTTCCGATAAGTATCATTTTCATTTCGTTCGTTGGTCCAACCATACATCTGTAAACGCGTATATATTTAGGACTACTAAACACAATTAACATTAATTTTTATTTAATAAATTTACTTATTTAATTTACCTGTAATCGTAGCCGTAATCTGTATATAAGACGACCGAAACACCGACAGCTATAGCAGGCAAGCCTATAGAATTATTAGAATTTTATAATCAGCAGTTGAAATAATTAATAAAATTAACTTACCCCAACCAAGAAGTAAATATAAGAAAACTCTTCCTTTAACAACACCAGCTACAATAGCACTGAATAATGCGTGACCTTCCATTAAAAGCCACGCTGAAACAGCGGTGTAGGAGTAATGGATAGTACCTGATAAAATTCTGCATACCTCCTAACATGGTAAATAAAATTTATTTTTATTTATGAGAATTACTAAAATTATATATATATATATATATATGTAAAATTTTACTTCATTGTCACGTAAAAATTCGGCAGCTAAAAATGAGCCTAAAGCAACTACAGCAGCAATAGATGTGTTGAATCGAATTGTGTGAAATTGTTCGTGCAAAGGTCTGAAAATGGAAAAATTATTAAATTAATGCAATTAAATATATTAACTAATTAAAATAAAAGTTGCTTACACGGAATAGGCGATGCAAATTATATAAAATATAAGAAGCAGCAAAGAAATACCCATAAGAATCCATTTTAATAGTTTTAACCACTCTGGTTCAGGTGGAATATCCTATATGAAATAGGAAAATCAAATAACTAAGATTATTCTTTTCGGTATTGACTTAACAATAATTAAATATTAAATGATTATCTAGTATAAAATAAAATAGAATAGCTAATTATAGATGATTTTATCGGATAATTTTGAAATGAACTGGGAATCGATCCTTTGTCGGATCCTTTTTCTAGTTTAGTTATGCTTTTCGCTATTTTTAATTCACAGAAATAATAATAAAACGTTTCTGTGGAGTATCAGAAAAATCAGAAACATAACAAAAATTTCTATATCCAGAAAAAAATTTAAACACAAATATTAAAATAAATTATAACACTTTTTTAAAAATATTTACAGGCTATTAACTTAATAACATTGTGAGAATATCATGTAAATGGTGATGGATGGTGTAGGAGTTATAGCAGCAATCTATCGCTCTGAGGAAGTCCGAGATGAGTCAAGCAGGCGAAAAACCCCAGAAATTTTTCACTGGCGGTCTGTCCCGGACGTGTCGGACTTCGTACCGCATCCCTGGACCCCCAATTGTGGGCCTGAACGAACCCATGATGGATATTTAAAAGTCTCTCTTAGTGCCAAACAAAGTGGAAAAAATCAAAAGTGAGAGAAAAATATTTTTTTTAAATGTTATTAAAAGAAGAGGAATATTTCTATACTAACTTTGATCTTGTATTTGTGCACATCAACAATTCTCAAAGCTCTTTATATTTACTATTTTTAAATATTAAAGTAGATCATATTTAACACTTTAAGTAACTAATCAGTGGAATTTTTGGTATTTTTTAAATGAAAATTAAACTGAAATTTTACTATTAAACTTATTATGAATAAATTTTAATTTATATCATAATTTTTTACAAAGAATGTTATAAATAAAATAATAATGGGTAAAAGTACTTATACGTGTATACCATCAAGAATAATTAATATAACCTTAAGATATATTTAAATCTAAACATTATATAGTATCAAGTGCATATGCAAAGCACATGAATCACGAAAGAAATATATTATTGAAAGGAACTCACGAAAGGTTTTCTTAACTTCGACATCACAGTAAAGATTCCTGATGACTGACAAGCACAAGTCGTAGATTCTTCCGAAGAGTTAACTAATTTGCAATCTTCATCTGACCATCCGCCTTTATCGTCTCGTCTGATTAAAATATTAGAAGTAAATATATAAAGAAGATAAACATGTTCAAAGTAGATTTGTTAAATTAAAAAATAAATAAATTACCCTTTAATTTCCTGGCTTTCTTTCCAACGCACGCAATATCTTTGTTTAATCTGTGGTGCAGTAAATGTTAAATTTTAGAGAGAGAGAGAAAGAATGTAGGTTACATAATATACAAGTATAAGACTCACTTCACAATTTTCAATATCTGATTCAGATGCCAGAAGTTTACGTCCTGTCATTTTTTTCTAAAATATCAAATAATATATCAGCTATTATATATTTTATATATGAATATATTATATAGAAAACAAAAATATAAATTACTTTCTGCTTATTCGAAAAACCCATCAAAATTGGATCATTTTCTAAATTATCAGAACTGGCTTCAGGTACCATCTCTAGTGATGTCACATCACCATCGATAAATACCCATTCATCATCATCACCCCTAAAACAGAATTTAAAAATATAAATTTATAAAATAAAATATGATAAAATTATTTCAGAATTTACTCACGAATTAGAATTTTGAAGAGGTGCAACCGAACTCAAACTGTCATATTTACAGTTCAGTATATGAATACGTTCATCTAAAACGAAACATTATATATAAAATATAGATTAAAATTGAATTTTATTATATTAATATAATATTTACTTACTTGGTTTTCTATTTCCTATAATTTTCGACGAAGCTGTAAGTTGAATTTTTTCTTCGGCAGTTTCATTTTGTTCTTCTGATTGCATATGTTCCGAGAGAGGAATGTTACCATTATCTTCGCCAAGTATCTTTGCTGCCGACGAAACAAAGATCCTGCATTCTAAAAATTAAAAGACTGTAATAGTCTTTATTTTTAATATTATTATTTATTTATTTTATAAAGTTTACCAATATTAAAACATTTCTGTTCGATGACTGTAGGAACTTCCGTGTAATTTGTATCCGTTGATTTTAGCAACACCCAATCCACATACGATTTTACCAATTCTGCGGAACCGCCATTTTTCTATTAAAGATAAATCATTAATGTAAACTAATAATTTTTTAAATAAAATATATGTAAAATTCTATTATGTTTTTTTTTTATTTCAGAAAATCATATTTATTGGCTACGTTCAGCAAACAACAGTTCTAATGGTAACGTTAACTGCTATGTAATAGCAATGAATCTGATGAACGATGGGTCAGGTGATTTTTTTAATCAAGGCTAAAGACCATTTTGGAGAATTTAAATCTCGTCCTTGGCGGCAGGGGATGAGTTCGAAGAGGAGGATGGGAGGAGCTCGCATTAGAATTTCGAAGCAAAGCCCGAAATGAAGATGTTCCGTTTCTATGTAGAGAACATACTCAGCAGAAAATACTCAACTGCTCCAGAATTTTCGAGTTTAGTGAACACAGCACTGCCATTCACTTCTAATAATGGTTCCGAAATGTTAAGTAATGGAAACATGTATGACTTAAATCTACATCTATCTTTGATATAGATATCTATATCATAAAATTTGAATTATACACGTAATATCTATAGTTCAAATTTTATGCGGAAAATAAAATAAAAAATAAAATGCATGTTTTAAATTATTTTAATGTCTGACAACATAAAACTTTCGAAAGAACACATTCGCGTGCTGTTGCTCATTTACATCAAAAGTGACCACAACGCCACGAAAGCCCACGATCTCATTTGTAAAGTGTTTGTTAAAGCGTTTACAGACGAACAAAGATCGGCCAGCTGTTGCAAATGTCAAAGGACCGATAGTGCAGAAGGCAATGTGTTTGTTTGGCGTCATTATGATGGAGATGCTTCCAACTCACATCACCGTCACAAAAGAACATAGATCTTTTCAGTACCACTACGACAACGCGGCATCCCATGACTTTATAGAAGTTGGCCAATCTAGACTAGCATCCAACTTTACAGCCAAGACTTGGCGCCAACTCACTACCGTCTATTCTCACGATATTGTTAATTTACAGTTTTATATCCAACGTTCGAGACCTTCTTCAAAGTAAACCACAGTCATTCTATTCTCACGATATTGAAAGTTTGCAGCAAAGATGGAAAAATATGATCGATATTGATGATGATTACTTTCAAGACTGTAGTCATTGTTGAGTTAATTGTCAATATAGTTCTTTTTTTTCAAAATGTCTAAATTTCACCTTTACAAATATATAAATCTTGGAAATTGTACTGAAAACTCAACACTTTTAACGGTTTCGGTAAAAATTAACATAAAGTATATAATAAAAATAAATATACTTGTTTTAAAATATTTTACGTACTTTATTTATCTCTTTCCAACAGTCAGCATACTTTTCAGCTAAAGCACCGCAAACCAAATTTTGGAGAAGCTGTTAAAGATTTATGCATTTATTATAACAAAAAAACTATTACAATTTTTAAAATAATTATTATAATTTTTACGAAAATGTAATTAACTCTTACTAGATTTATTTCAAAAACTTCTACACTTATATTTTTCTTTCTAGATAAAGTTGTTGTTCTTTCCATTATAATATTAATAATGTTGACCAAACTTGTTAAATCTTCACACATTTTTTCTTCTTTCTCTTCATCAATTTTTTCATCGGTGCTGTTTTCTATTAAAAAAATCACATAAGGATCATATAAAAATATATTTAAATATATCATACCGTTTAGAAATATATCCATTATTACTTTTATCCGCTGGTTCGGGTTCGATTTTTGCGACTTTGCCCAAATGTTTTAGAACCTCGCGTAAAACTTCGGGATTGTCTAAAGGAATGTCTCCCTAAAATTAATTTGATAAGAATATAAATAATTTATTTTAAATATCTTTATTTTAAATTATATGTCAAGGAACTTACCACAAGAGCAACGAGTTTGGCCAGATTTGTTTCGCAGAATAACGGATGAGTTTCTGTATCGCAGTCTAAACGATAAGAAGAGTGGAATTTCATAAAGCGTACAACTTAAATTATTTAAGGTTAAAGTGTGTTTACACTACAAATTCAATAATAATAATAATAAGTTTAAGATATAACTTACTTTTTTCTTCGTCTGAAGCCCAACGAGAATATTGATCATTAGTTTAACGCAAATAAAAGATTTAATAACAATTAATGGAGAGTATTTACCATAATCACCAAGAAAACAACTTGTTTCTTGAGGTGAGAGATCACGAAACCAATACGCAATTTCATCGAGCTCGCAATCAGCAAAATGACTGTAACCAGATCCAACTTTCTTGCAACCAACTGTAACTTCATCTTGTTTCTTTACTTCTTCTGTTAATTCTTCCGGATACATAGTCCAAGCTTCCAATGTGTTGTTAACGTAAATCTGAATATCAATTAGTAATTAATTAAAGAAAATAATCTTAATTTTTGTTAAATAATAAAACTTTACCTTTATGCCATTATCCTTTTTCCATGCTACACCCAAATTACTCCAAGTACTATTCGGTATTGGGCCGGGTGCGCATGCTTCCCATTTTTGATCATTTTTACATAAACCGGCACAAAGGGTAATTTCAGAATAATAAATATACAGTCCTGGGCACCCTATAAAATTTTAATACTTTGTATAAAATGGAAACAACAGCGCCTAAATGTACAAAACATAGAAGATTCTGTTAAAGTTTCTCACCGGAATCGATTATATATTTGCGTCTTTTGCTTCTGTAAAATATAATATTAACCCAAACGCTGAAAGAGAATCCATTTGGACACTGGGTAGGATCTTTCAAACAGTTTTCGTGTCCTTTTTCCTTCGCAAAATTGGTAAATTTAAGACACGCTCCAGCATCATCGGAATCTTCTTCGGAACGAAACGAAGCACCCCAACCTAACCCTATAGGGCCATTTGCGAATGAAACAGTTTTATCACCTACATCTGTGCCATTTAGTTTCATGTTGGGCCAACAATAGCTTGTGGACTCGCAGTAAGGCAAGCAGGCTAAAAATTAATTACAATTCCTTAAATTATTGTTAAACATTGAGACATTTTTGGCATCCTCTTCAGTACTTACTCTCATTTATTGCAGCTGTAGTAGTTGAAATCGGAGTTGTGGATTCTGTCGTTGAAACGGTAGTAGTTGTGGTTGTTGTCGGTATAATTACCGTTGTCGTTGTTGTTGTAGGTAAAGAAGTTGTAGTAGTTACACTGGTTGTGGTTGACGTTTCTGAAGTTGTTGTTGTTGTCGTAGGAGTAGTTGTTGTTGTAGTTTCAGTTGTTGGAATCGTCGAACTTGTTGTAGGAGGTTTAGTAGACGTAGATTCAGTTGTTGTTGTAGATGTTAAAGCTTCAGTAGTTGTAGTTGTTGGAATGTTAGTAGTTGTGGATGTTTCCACTGGAGTTGTCGTAGATGTAATTGTTGTTGGAATCTCAGTTGTTGTTGTGGTCGGATATTCTGTTGTAGTTGTTGTCGTGGTGGGTATTTCTGTTGTAGTTGTTGTTGTTGTGGTTAGTTTTTCGGTAGTAGTTGTTGTTGTGGTTGGTTTTTCCGTTGTGGTTGTTGTAGTGGTCGGTGCTTCTGTTGTAGTTGATGTCGTTGATGTGATAGGCGCTTCTGTTGTAGTAGACGTTGTTGTTGGAGCTTCAGTGGTTGTGGTTGTTGTGGTACTCGTTAATTCAATTGTTGTCGTAGTTGGAGCTTCAGTTGTTGTTGTAGGAGCTTTTGTTGTTGTCGTAGGAACTTCCGTTGTTGTTGTCGTTGTTGTCGGAGCTTTGGTTGTCGTTGTTGTGGTGGTAGGAGATTCTGTTGTTGTCGGAGCTTTAGTTGTTGTTGTTGGAGGTTCGGTAGTTATTGTAGTTGTTGGAGATTCGGTAGTTGTAGTTGTTGGGGATTCAGTTGTAGTAGTAGTAGTTGGAGGTTCGGTTGTTGTTGTTGTCGGGGGTTCTGTTGTTGTGGAAGTTGTTGGGGGTTCTGTTGTCGTCGTACTTGTTGGAGGTTCTGTTGTTGTGGTAGTTGTTGGAGGTTCGGTTGTTGTGGTAGTTGTCGGAGGTTCGGTTGTTGTGGTAGTTGTAGGAGGTTCGGTTGTTGTGGTAGTTGTCGGGGGTTCAGTCGTTGTGGTAGTCGTTGGGGGTTCAGTCGTTGTGGTAGTCGTCGGGGGTTCCGTCGTTGTGGTAGTCGTCGGGGGTTCGGTTGTTGTAGTAGTTGTTGGGGGTTCTGTTGTCGTCGTAGTTGTTGGGGGTTCCGTTGTTGTCGTAGTTGTAGGAGGTTCAGTTGTTGTCGTAGTCGTCGGGGGCTCAGTTGTTGTGGTTGTTGGGGGTTCAGTCGTTGTTGTCGTCGTTGGAGCCAATGTAGTTGTAGTAGTGGTAGTGGGTGCTAAAAGGAAAAAATTATATTAACAATATAATTTATTTCGTGCTAAAAACGTTCTTATTTGATTAATTACAGAAAAATATTCTTACCTTTAAGTGAAAAAGCATTAATTAATCGTACAAACTCCATCATACCCACCTGAATTAGACGAACCTCTGATAAATAGACTAAACTGAAAAAAATCATACTTAAACATAACACATTAACATTCATTATTTTCATTCACACATGATTTTTGTTGTACAGATGCTTGTCAACTTGTGTTTAATTTATAAAAAATGAACAACTACACAGATAAATCCTCGTTTTATTTCTATCAATACAATTATTTATATTACAGAAATTAA